TCTTGGTCTAAAAATAAGGATATTTTTTTCTCAATTTACTATGAGAAAATTGGATAAATTAAAGTGTTATTTGTTCTTTATTGCACTGAAGAAATTAAGGATAAGTTTGCAATTACTTTGTTTCAATGTAAGTAGCTATATGCTTTGGGCCTTTTGACAATGGCATTACATGCAAATGAATTCAATATTTGAAATGAGTGACATTTTGTATGAGTTTTTTTTTTTTTTGGAAAAAAGGAACTCAACTTAGCATTCGTGTGCAGTGTTTGTGCAGTTGCCATCACATGGCATAAGTATTTTAGGAGTTTTGGATACATCCAACTGTAGTTTGCAATGGATCATCTCATCACATCATGTAATTTTAAGATAGATTTAACTCATTCATGACTCGTTTATAGTCGTATATAAAACAGGTTCATGTTATTTATATGTCATACACAATTGGTTTGTATCAAAGTCATATATAAAATACTTTTGACTGATCAACTTGATAATGATCCGAACCTGTTAAGGCTAAACTCCTATTTAATCCATAATTGACTAATTAAATTTAAATTTGAGTCTTGAGTTTTGTTAAAGTTTGATTCATTAATAGATCTTGCAAGACAAAATGGCTTGTGGCCATTGTTGTCCTACATTGGTTTACTTAAAATGATCAATTATTGAGCAAAATATGCCTTTGCACAAAGATACCCATTTCTGATTAATAAAAAGAAAAAAAATTCAATCTATAATCTATAATATAAATAAGGGAGGCTTCAATAAACTCATCCGATGGTTTTCAATAGACTCATTCAATGACCACCAATATTTCTCTCAAAATCATTCACATTACAGCGTATTTGAAGAACTCGTGGGAAGAGTAGTACAAAATGCATCCTTTCCATCAGATTAATGAAGTTCAAAATATGAGTTTTAATCTAGATTAGTAACAATCAAAATACGACAGAATCGCTATTTAAAAATTCAAAATATAAACTCTAGGCAAACTTTGATGGAGTTGATTATCCATAAATATGGTAAAAAAATTCACAAATATGATAAATCACCTAAAAAAGTAGTTTTTCTTTTGTACCAAATAAAAGTTGTAAAAATAGTTATCACAAATATGGTAAAAACACCCACAATAGTGATAAAAATATTCACAAAAATGATAAATTAACCACAAAAATAATAAATTTTTTTGTTATAAAATGGCTCACAAAAATTATAAAAACATCATTTGAAGTGATAAATTTTGAAGGTATGGTTCCAAAAAAATTTTTAACGGTATCATAAACCAGTCAAATTTGATAATAATTATGTTATCGAATTTCAACCGCATGATTCTCAAGACTGATTATTTCATACTTTAAATTTTTATCCAATTTCATGATGAGAAGTGGGTGGCTCACCAATTACAAATCAACACGTGACATTGTAGAATAATTATTTTTCTTACTTTTTTTGTATTAAAAAATTATTACTTTTATAGGTGATTTATTATTTTTATAAGTATTTTTATCACTGTTGTGAATATTTTTATTATTATTATGATAATTTTTTATAATTATTTTTGGTATTGTAATAATAATAAAAATATTTACAAGTATAATAAAATTCGATATAATACTTAAATTTTAATTTTTGATATCTTTGACCACTCTTTGATTTAATGTTTCGGTGGGATTTAACGTCTCAGTGGACAGGACATTCTGAGAAAGGAAAAAGTTTGGTGTTTTCAAATTCTTTTATCATAAAGCAGGAACAACCTCCGAGCAATGAATGGGGATTGGACAGCAATCACTTTCTTCTACTCTTTTTTTTATTAAACACTCACTGAACACAACCTCTCGATATTTAAATTAACAAACACACTTAAAGTTATCCGTATGGGATAATCCAGTCCCTTGACAAAATTATCATAATTGCAAGGCCTCTAATCCAAAGTATGGGATTCGAGCCCAACACCGAGTGTCTCGCACCCCGAAGGGCTTTTTTCAGTCTTGTTGAGCACACACTAATCACTTTCTTTTACTCACTGTACAAAGTTCTATCATCTCTTTCTATTTAAAAAAAAAAAAGTTCTGTCATCTCTAATGAAAATCGATGAACACCTAAAACTAGAGATGGCAAATGGATGAGTTTGGTTAAATTAGATTGGACTAAAATAAATTCAATTTATTTTTCACTCATATAGTAAATGAGTTATAATGAGTTGAGTTTATAACGGGTTAAGTTAAACCGACTAACCGATAAAAATAATTAAAATTCTTAATAGACACATTAATATACCAAAACACATACACATTAATAGTACACCAAAATACAAACATACACACATACAAATACACCAAAACAAACACAAACTAATATATTAAAAATATATACACTATTACACTAAAATACACACTAATAAACCAAAAATACACACACATATACTAACACAAAAACTAAAACACATTTTATAAAAAAAAATACACATATAATGGGTCGGGGTCAATTTTGGGCTATGGATTGGTTGTGGGTCGACCCATGGGTTGTGAGTCGTGGACCAACCCGTGGGGTCATGGGTGGTGTATTAGTGTGTGTTTTTTGTGTACTTGTGTGTATATCTTAGTGTATATTTTTTGTGTAATAGTGTGTGTATTTTTTAATATATTAATATATTTATTTAATTTTATTGCTTGTGCTAATTAATAAAAAGTTAAATACTCAACTTAATGGGTACCTATTTATAATTCATATTAACTTGCTTAATTAAAATGAATCGTATCACCCAATCCATTTAGAATTCATATTAATTAATATAAGTATCCAACCCATTTATTTATGGATAGATTTGGCAAATTAATGGATAATGGATTAAGAATGTCACCTCTACCTAAAACTATTGCTGAAAGTTTTATAGCATTAGTCTTTTGATAATTTTCCCTCAAAAAATAAAAATGTTTATAGGTGTGCTTGCAACACATATTCCATTATTATAACCAAAAGTCATCACACTCTTGAAATATATTTGACTTTTATCTAAAATAATATATTTTTATGTAGAGGTTATAAATTCGAGTCTCCTCTCCGAATCGTGAGAACTTATCTAAAAAATTAGTCTCCGAGTAGTCTACTCGAAGACTAGCATGTTTTCGATGTCGCCCATCTTCTGTTCACGTGTCACTTGGTGATAAGCATCAATTCATGTCGTTGGCAAATTGAAACATCTTAATAGCCAAATAAAAAAAAAAAGCAAAAGCGATTTCCGTAATAGCAGTGAGCGAAATGAAAGCAACCTAAACCGTGAAAATAGGATCGTGGGAGAGCAATATGCATCATGCTGCTAGGCGAAGCGGTAGAGTGTTGCATCTTAGATGCTGAAAGTCCAGTTGCTGAAAAACATTATTAGCTTACGCTCTGATCCGAGTAGCATGGTGATCAACAAGGATCACCTTGCAAGATTAAATACTCCTGGGTGATCAATAGCGAAGTAGTACTGTGAGAAAAGGGTGAAAAGAACTCTCATTGGGGAGTAAAATAGAATATGAAACCGTAAGCTCCCAAGCAGTGGGAGGAGCTCTGGGCTCTGACCGCGTGCTTATTAAAGAATGAGTCGACAACTCATAGACAGTGGCTTGGTTAAGAGAACCCATCATAGTCGTAGCGAGAACAAGTCTTCATTGGGCAATTGTCACTACTTATGAACCTGAAACTGAGTCATCTATCCATTATCAAAATAATTTTTTAAACTATTAAATAAGTAGTAGTTAATTATGAGATAGTTTATTGGTAATTATTTTAGATAGTTGATAAAAAAATGAGTAGATAACATTTCTTAGGTTTATTGTAACATCGACTTAGAACTAAGTCCATATATGAATAAAAAAAATTATTTGATACAAAATTTTTTAATAGAAAAATTCAAATTTAAATAATGACAAACTCAAATTTAAATTTAGGGTGAAATATCATAATTGAATATTTAAAAGATGATAAATTCTAACCATTAAAATATTTGAATAAAAATTTGAGTCGCTTTTCAAAATTTAAGTTTGAGTAAGAGTTAAAAATATTTTTATTTGTATTTAAATAATTAAAATTTTTATAAATCAAAGAAAGGGAAGGAATGTTTGTGAAACTCTCTTCTCAAAACATAATTTTTATAATAGTATTACATAAATATATTATTTTTTTCATAGTTTACTTCAAACTATGCTTTAATTTCTAAGTGAAACATTAGTTACACCTTTATTCATTTTTATATGAACTAGTTAGTACACACGTACATTGCACGTGAACAATTTTTAAATTAAAATATTTGATTTGATGTGCTATGGACTCTACTTCTAACAAGACTTGTTACCTAACATTAGATCAATATTTACAAAAAAAAAAAAAAAAATCAAAGAAAGTAGGTTAGGGCTTTTGATCAATTCCTTAATACATATTCACAAGGAATCTCTTCATTGCATTCCTTCTTTTGTTTTGGCCTTACGTGTTGTCATTGGTATCCAAACCTTAATTATTTATCATTTTTCCTAACACACCTCCANAAAAAAAAAAAAAAAAATCAAAGAAAGTAGGTTAGGGCTTTTGATCAATTCCTTAATACATATTCACAAGGAATCTCTTCATTGCATTCCTTCTTTTGTTTTGGCCTTAAGTGTTGTCATTGGTATCCAAACCTTAATTATTTATCATTTTTCCTAACACACCTCCAAACGTCAATCAGAACATGGTGATGACGGGATACAAGCCTTGGCCAAATATATTAATGAAAGGGAAAAATATAGGCAATTAATATAAAACTGTCCAAAGCTCACACAGAACAATTGCTGAAGATACAAGTCATCTATAATGACATCCATGATCCAAATGNAAAGCCTTGGCCAAATACATTAATGAAAGGGAAAAAAATAGGCAATTAATATAAAACTGTCCAAAGCTCACACAGAACAATTGCTGAAGATACANCAAGCCTTGGCCAAATATATTAATGAAAGGGAAAAATATAGGCAATTAATATAAAACTGTCCAAAGCTCACACAGAACAATTGCTGAAGATACAAGTCATCTATAATGACATCCATGATCCAAATGCACCCAGAAGGCTAGGAGAAAATACTTGAGGTAGCTGAGTGTCAACATAAAAAAAGGCTACTAAACATGCAGTTACTATACAGCAAAAAGCATACAAGCACCCCACCACTGTACCAGTATTATTTACAAAGAGGTTACTGACAATGCAGCTCAGATTCTATGAATGTCAAGACTAACATTAGAAGTATTTGAAACACCCAGGAGAAAAAGGAGTACAAAGCTTCACATTACATTTGCACCAAGCAATGAATTACACGAGAAGAGAAAAGGTAAATAATGTAGACAGGTTAATCACAAGCTCCATTAACTTACTTGAGCTCCGACAAGCTTGTTGTCCCAGCTAAGTATACTATAATCTGGGCCTCTCCAGAAGGCACTGACGTGTTTGGCGATATCTAGAGTCGTAGGCAGTAGAAGTTATGAAGAATTTCCAGTAGCATAATACAACCAAGCTGCACCCCACACATACTCATCATAGTAATTAGTGAAATTATAGAAAATAGAAGCGTCAGCATCACGAGCACTATATCTGCCTTGCTGATCCCTGAAAAACTTGAAAAGGGTTCTAGCACCACGTACAAGTTTTTGGGAGTAAGCCTTGTTATCCGTAAAAACAATGGATGCAGAAGCAAAAGCAGCAACCATCTCTGCAGCAAGGTCTGAGCAACTATGGCATTCATGTACGGGCTGAGCGTAATCCATATCCTCCGAGCGCATCCAACAATAATGATCATTAGCAGAGAGAGAATTTTTACCTATTAACACAGCCTGTTGATATCGGTACACAAAGAGAGCTTGTTAACAATAAGACCAATGTGTGTGAGACTATAAAGTTTAATTTCAAGTAACATAATTATACTAACTTGATACGAATTTCTAGATTTTTACTTAGAATCCGAGAACTTGTGTTCCATTGATATGTATGAAGTACCTTGTTGCCAAAAGTTGTAAAACAATACAACAGTAAGCAAATGTATCAATCAGACAATCACTAATATTTTTTTTAAGAAAAAAATGGATTAGTGCCCCCAATCTCCGCTAGAGTTGTCAAAAAAAAAAAATCAGTAAAACAAACAAAATTATAAAATTATATTCAATCAAATATATTAATTAAGTATGCATGTATGTATATATACATAGAGAAGAAAGGTTTGTCTATATAATATATGGTACATACCACCCTTCTATGGCTGGATCACAATAACAATTTAATTTCAAGAAACCACATCTATTATCCTTCAATTCAACATTTCATCAAACATCAGTCGTGCATCATCCAAAGCACTACACTTCACATACATAACGACAATGGCATTACAAACAAACACATTACCACCAATCACATTACTGCCAAGTAAACTCATAGACAGTAGAGGAACAAGTTAGACACTGGGTGTTTCAAAGAGAGGATGATGGGGGTGAAGGCGATGTAGTGGTGGCTACAGGTGGTGTGGGGGACGTGGGTTGGTGGCATGAAGAGACGGGGAGTTACGTAAGAAATATATCATGAGACTAAGATACAAAGAGATGTAACCGAAAGTGAACCAATTTAGGGAGAAGCGATAAATCTGAAGAGCCACTAAGAGAGCATTAAAGTGGGAGTGAGGGAGAGGGGGAAGGTGGAAAGAGGTTAGAAGGGATTTATGGGATCATCTGGTGCAATTGTCAGTTCCTGATGGTATGCCATGGATGGTGGTGCGGGACTTTTAACGCTATTTTACGAGCTGAAGAGAGGTTAGGAGGAGCCTTTCTATCGGTTGTGGCAATGGGTGATTTCAATGATTTTCTGATTAATGCTAGGTTAACGGATGGGGGTTTCCTGGGGAGTAGGTTCACATGGTGTAAAAACTGTCAAGGATCTGCTAGAATGTGGCAGAGAATTGATAGGGTTCTGTTAAATGCTTCATCGGGTGATGTTCTGGGGAGGACAGAAGTGATGCATTTGGCTAGGGGCAAGTCAGATCATTCCCCTATGTTAATTAAGGTTTCAAATGTTCAGCTGAGTATAATTTCATATTTTAAATTCCTTAATGTGTGGTTAGAGGATGAGAGTTTTTTTCCATTGGTTGCTTCTAAATGGCCTGGATCATATTCCAGCAATCCTAAAGAGAATTTTTTTCTCAAGTTGAAATATTTGAAGGTGCATTTACGAAAATGGAATGTGGAGGTTTTTGGTAATATTTTTGAAAAGATTAAAACGAAGAAAGTGGAATTGTCTATTGCAGAAATAGATGTGGAGGAGTTGGCATCTATGGAAAATATTCAAAAGCTTGAAAGGGTACAAGGGGAATTGGATGATATTCTGCGCTTGGAGGAAATTTTCTGGAGGCAGAAATCAAATTTGAAATGGGCAATGGAGGGGGAATGTAATACAAGGTTTTACCATGCTCTGGCTAAGGGTAAGTATAAGAGGAATAATATTAATAGAATTCAGAATAGTGTTGGTTGATGGGTTCAGACTGATGATGAAATTGGCTTGGTTGCTGAGGAATTTTATTCTAATTTATACTGTTCTGAATCCCATCATTTGGATGAAGATATTTTTTCTGCTATTCCTAAACTGGTCTCAGAGGAGCAGAATGCTGATTTATTGAAGACTTCGATGGAAGAGGTGAAGCAGGTAGTTTTCTCTATGTCTCAATATAGTGCACCTGGGGTTGATGGTTTTTCTGGTGGTTTTTTCCAAAGTGCTTGGGGGATTAGTGGAGAGGATTTGGTGAATGCTGTTAATTTTTTTCTAAGGGGAGGTTCTGTTCCCAGATCTGTTAATGCAACGTTGCTTACTTTAATTCCTAAGAAAGTTAATCCTGCTACATTTGCTGATTTTCGTCCCATTGGCCTCTGTAATTTCTTGTATAAGGTGATTACTAAGTTGCTATCAATGAGACTTGCTGGTATACTACCGTTCTTAGTATCTGTTGAGCAGCATGGTTTTGTTAAGGGAAGAAATGGTGGGGAATGTGTGGCTTTGGCACAAATGATGGTGGGTGAATTAAATAGGAAAGTGGAGGCTGGGAATATTATGCTGAAATTGGATATGATGAAGGCCTTTGACAGGCTAGAATGGGATTTTCTATTGAGAGTTTTGGATGGATTTGGTTTTTCCCCTTTATTTGTTAAGATTGTTGAAAACTGTTTAGAAAATCAGTTTTTTTCCATGGGTGTGAATGGGGTGAGAAGAGGGTTTTTTCGATCTTCCGGGGGTTTAAGACAAGGGGATCCTATGTCCCCTTGTTTATTTATTTTGGCTGAAGAAGTGTTGAGTAGGGGGTTATGGAGGATATTTCAGCAGGGGTTGGTGAGGCATTTTCATATAGGAAGAGGGGTAAGACTGGTGAGTCATCTATTATTTGCAGATGACACTTTAATCTTTTTAAGAGGAGACAAGAGATCTTTAAGAAATNTAGGGGTTGGTGAGGCATTTTCATATAGGAAGAGGGGTAAGACTGGTGAGTCATCTCTTATTTGCAGATGACACTTTAATCTTTTTAAGAGGAGACAAGAGATCTTTAAGAAATTTGCTAAGTGTTTTGAAACTTTATGAAGATTGTTCTGGCCAGAGAGTGAGTCTTCCAAAAAGTTCCATGTTTTGTTCTAAGTGGAATTCTGAGGAGAGAAAATGTGTTCTATCTGGTCTAGCCGATATCCCTGTTAAATCTTGTCCATTTACTTACCTGGGTTGTCCTGTAATTCAGGGGAGGCCTAGAGTGAGATTTTTTGAAGGGCTTTTGTTGCAGTATAGGCAGCGGCTTGAAGGGTGGTATACTAGAATGTTGTCTGGTTTTGGGAGGTTGTTGCTGGTACAGTACGTCCTCTGTGTTGTGCCTATACATTTATTTGCTTCCATGAATTTGAGCTTAATTCTATAATGGCCAATTTCATTTGGGCTAATAAATTGAATGTTCATAGAAGGCACTGGGTTGCTTGGAGGAAAATTACATTGCCTAAGAAGGAAGGGGGTTTGGGTTTGGGATTGCGGAGGTTTGAAGATATTCAGTCTGCTTTCCGTATGAAACAGGTTTGGAGTCTACAGACTGGCTCTTCTTTGTGGGCTCAAGTTTTTGAGTCTAAATTTTTGAAGGGGAAGAGTTTGTTAAGGTGTTTGGCTAGAAAGCATTCTTCTTCTTTTGAGCTTTTAAGACCATATTTTGAGAGAGTGGTTCAATCTTCAAAGCTTCTGGTGGGAAATGGTCCAACTGCTGATTTCTTTTGTGATAACTGGATTGGTTCTGGTGCTTTGCTGAGTAAGATGCACCTGATGCCTCAAATTTTTCCTAGAGTTTCTGATTTGTTTGAGGCTTCGGTTTGGAGTCTAAGTGGAGAGGAGTTATGTTTGAATGATGATTTGAGGAATGAGGTTTTGAGTTCTGGTCTTGTTTTAACAGAGCATAATGACAAGCTGGTTTGGTAGGGTACTTCGTCTGGAATTTTTTCTGTCAAGTCAGCTTGGCAATTGCTTAGAAGTCAGGGTGTTTATGATGAAGTTGCTGATATGATCTGGAAAATTAGAACTGCTCCTAGTGCCCAGTTTATGGGTTGGAAAATTTTAAGAGGGGCGTTGCCGTTAGACTCAAATTTTATGAGAATTGGGGTCTTAATTGTGAGCAGGTGCTGTTTATGTTATGCGAACACTGAGACTGTGGAGCATTTATTTGTTGATTGTAAGTATGCCAGGGAAATCTAGTCTACTTTTGCTGCAGTGTGTGGATTCCAGATAATTCATGGTGAGAGCCCTTTAATGAGGTTTAAAAGGTTGTGCAGGATATTTAAAAAGAATTCCTTGAGTCATACTTTGATTCGAAGTATTTCTTTGATTATTTTTTGGCAACTTTGGAAAGAACGTTGTAGGAGAGTGGCTGGTGAAGGGAAGTTGTACTCCTATTCTCTTTTTGTTAGAATTCGTGGTATATTGCGATATCAGGGGAAGAGTCTTAAGCCCAAGGCGAAAGAGGATGCTGCTGGAAAGGAGTTTTTATCTTTTTTACAGATTGAATCATCATACTCTATTGGTTGGAAGGGGTTTTGGGTGAAATGGGTGTGTCCTCCTTGTGGAGTTTTGAAGTTAAATTCTGATGGGGCCTCAAGAAGGAACTCACTGGTGGCAGGTGGAGGTGCAGTTGCGAGGAGTGAATGGGGTAGGATAGTTGTGGCTGCCTCTTTCTTCTATGGGGAAGGCTAAAATATGTTTGCGGAGCTTAAAGCCTTGGGCGATGGACTACAATTGGTCATGCAATATGGATTATCTTGTTATGAGTTTGAGATTGAATGTGATTCTCAGATTCTGGTAAAATCTGTTTTGGGTACGTGCGAATGTCCTTGGCAGTATATAGGCTTATTGAGGAAGATTAAAATTCTTTTGGGAAGTTTGAAGTTTCGATTGGTTCACATTTTTTGGGAAGCAAATTCGGTGGCTGATAGACTTGTGAACCAAGTTGTGTTGACCAGGCGTACTGTTGATTTTTCTGTAAATTTGGGATTACCATGTGAGGTTGCTGCTGCTTTGGTGAATGATCAGAAAGGACTGCCTGTTTTGCGCAAGAAGAAGGTGGTGGCATTTGATGATAAAGGCTAATGGGTGGTATTGAGGTTGTTTTGTTTTTGATTGAAGTGTTGATTTTGTTTAAAGTTTTTTTGTATGGNGGTGGCATTTGATGATAAAGGCTAATGGGTGGTATTGAGGTTGTTTTGTTTTTGATTGAAGTGTTGATTTTGTTTAAAGTTTTTTTGGATGATGGAGTATGTCTGTGATGTTCTGCTGATCTGGAAGGTTTTTGGTTGGAAGTTTTTTGAGTCTTTTCTTTAAAAGGCGTCTGTGCCTTGTTTTGTTTTGGTGGTGGTCTTAGGCGTTGGTTTTCGCCTTTGCTTCTTGTAATTCTCTGTTTTTGTGAATAAATAAAATTTCTATAAAAAAAAAAAAAAGGTGGAAAGAGGGAAATTGGGCTGTTTTTTTTATTGACTACTAAATGCGCAGAAGGGAGGGAGGGAGGGAGAGAGAGAGAGAGAGACATTGTTCTTTGCTGGGCAGTGAAGGCTCATGTGAGAGAGAGAGAGAGTTGCTGTCAACAGCAGGAAAGGGAAGCAGTAGAGTCAAGCAATTAGGATTAATATGCTATTAATTTTGAAGGATAAGAATATCATATTTGCATTGTTAAAGGATAAAAATGGAAAACAAAATGTTTTTCAATATGTTTATTTTTTTTAAATCGTGAATAACTTTCTCCAAAATTTACAATGAAAGTAAACACAGATGATCTTATGATAGCAATCCACTCTTGTAAGTCCATTCACCCTTATCAACTCTTTTAGTTATGTATCCACCAAAAAGTTGATAACACGGTATGTACTAATTCAAATGCTTGCTTGA